TTTTACATTTATTTTTTTTTATAACTCATTTGACTAAGAGTAATTCAAAACCTTATGAAGACTTTACTAAAAATCATTTAGAGTCCCATTAAAGTAGCTTTTATAGTGCTATTCATTCCCCATTTAATTCTATTCAATAATAATTAACCTATATATAAACTTATAAATTATATAATAAATGTTTGAAAAAGTACATAATCAATCAAGAAATTCTCACTTTTACTTTGTTATCTATATACTTTCCTTTTATTTCATAATAAGGAGATATTTAAGAAAAAAAAAAAACTTCCGATATATTTTGTAGTTTCTCCAATTAATTAAATGACAAAACCCCTTCTTAAGCTCCAAACTTACTCCAAATTAACACATAAACCCCTAAACTAAAAGCAGTGCAAATAACTCCTTAAACGTCTCAAATGATACAAATTTACCCTTAAATCTCTCCAAAAATACAAATCAACACTTATATCATTAATAACCCAACACATGTGATCTCACGTCATATGTTTTTCTCTTTTACTTGGTTTTATTTTTTCACATAAATACTAGTATGAATAAAAAGACACATTAGATTTTTCTCCTTTACTTGGTTCTATTTTTTCACATAAATACTAGTATGAATAAAAAAAACACATTAGATTGTACAAATCCTTCAAAATAACCCACATATTCCTTTTTTATTTAGTATTCTTAGGCAACAAAAACCATTTTGAGAGGATTTTTATTACCCAAAGAATTTTTAATTTATGTAAAAAGTGAGAACAAATAAATAAAAAAATAAATAACATGAGATCACATGCGTTGCACCATTAATGATAAGAATTAATTTACATTTTTGGAGGGATTTGGGGGCTATCTGCATCATTCGAGTGGCTTATTGCATCATTTTTAGTTTAGGGACTTACGTGTAAATTTGGGGTTTTCCCTAATCAGATGCACACACCTGAGAGTTCGGTTGCGTCCTCTCCTTTTCTAATATCTATTTCAACTGCCACGCTTACGCCTCGCCGTTTCGCCATCCGGAACTCCGATTAAACTTTGGTCACTGTGACCGCCACTGACGGCATTGGTAAAGAGCCTGAGAAACAAGTAACTGAAAGCGGGACACGCCGTGAGATCTTCCTTACTCCTTCCTTTTACCTGCTTGATTGATTACTGTTTTATTTCTGAGATTTCCTTCTTTTCTTGTCGCAGCTTGGGAGGAAGATTTTTTTTTTTTTTTTAATTTAAATTTTCTACCTTTAAGCACCCTTTCTTTGTTTAAATTTGGATGGACGATGATCCCTTTTATATTTGAATTAGCTTTTGGGAAGTGGCAAGCTGGGACGGAACCAACGGTGCAAGGGATCGTCCGTATAGAGCTACTGAGTTAATAGGTAAAAGTAAATTTAGTATAATTTGAAAACTAAATAAAGATAGAAGATTCTATTGTCATATAAATGATAAATATATATATTTTTTAACCGTTTACAATTTGATGGAAGGAGATTTATTCAGGACATTTGGTAAAATTTAAAATTTCAATCAACGAATCTAAATATTTAAAAGTTTAGAGACAAATCATTTAAATCTAAAGATCTAGTTTATATAAAGGTTAAATGCTAGATTTGGTCCCTCAACTTTAGTGGTTTGCACATTTTTGGTCCCTTAACAATTTTTTGC